CCTCTGTCCTGCAACTTTTAGATGTGCTTCTGCTGCACCACACCTGAAAAGAATAATTAGGTCATTAACAAGGCTCAGGAGAACCGATCTACACAGGGAGGAGGTAATTAAGCCATTTCATTCCACTGTTTTTTACCTGTGGCACATCTAAACAACTGCAGGACAGCGACCCTTGAGGACTGGAGTTTGACACCCCTGTCATTGTGAATGACAACCTGTGAACAACAGGTTAAGTTGTCAGAAGTGCATCATTTTGGATCAGTGAAAATGTTGGAGACTTTGTGACTGAATCTCTCTAAATAAACCCCGGAACAACTCCAAGACGGGTGTACACTAGGAATACTGGGAAACCACTGGTGGTGTGACAACAGTTACTGTTAATCAACATGTTTGCAGTTACATGAGTTATATTGAAGAAGGCAATCAGTGGAGCAGGAAACATCTTTAACAATAATGATGTTTTTATTATTCCCAAAAATGAAGTGAAAAATGAAGGGATGGATAATGCATTAGCATTATCCATCCCTTCATTTTTCATTAGCATTATCCCTTCATTTTCATTAGCATTATCCATCCCTTCATTTTTCACTTCATTTTTCACTTCTGGCTCAGTCAGCGTTACAGCAGTCATTGGGTGGAGGCGGGGCAGACCCCGGCCAGGTCGCTAGAGTATACAATGTGGACACACACAAACACACACACTGCTCTGGTACAGCAGAGAGGGGATGGAGAAACAGAACGGATAGTGTCAGCTTGACCCTCTGGGATGGGAGTGAAGGTCTTGAATGACTGTCGGTGTGGTGATGACAGGAGAAGATGAACTGGAGCTGAGGCGGAGGCTACTCCACCTCTTAAAACGGCTCCACAAAGAACATTCACATTCCTAGTGAATGTCATGGATTTTCTCTCTAAATCTCTGCCGCTGTGCAACAACTTCTGGGCCTTTGGTTTGCTCTTGTAGCTTTAATCATGACTTATTTAAAAATGTTTATTTTTTTATGGATTCCCCTCCAATGTCTCTTCAACTCTGGCATTTCTTTTAAAGGAAAAGCCTGACCTCAGCAGACATTCTAGTTCCCTCGTTTCCTTTTCTTACATTTATTTAACAAAGTGATTCTCTAACCTACTGCCACTGATCTTGGCTGTAGAGGAACACACCTTTTCTGCCACCTCACCCAAACAAGTAAGGAAAAACTGTCACATGGAATTTTAATGGTTAAATGGTAACTGGTCTGCACTTGTATAACATTTTATCAAGTCCAGAGAGCTCCAAAGCACTTCAGACTATATCCAATCATTCACACATTCACATGCTGATGGTGGTTAAACGACATTGTAGCCACAGAGGTGAGGCAGCGCCACCATCTGACAGAGGCAAGTAAAGCTGGGATTGAAACCAGCAACCCACCAGTTACTGGGGCAACAGAGCCCCAAGAAGGTAGACAAACAAAAAATATGAAAATGTAAATACTATGTTCATATGATTTGGGGGGGGGGGGATATGTTATTATTTGTTTTATTTTTTGTTACTCTTTCTTGTTGATCCTAAAATAGTCATCTTGTTTTTATCTTATTTTATTCTTCTAAAAATAGCATTTTTAAGTAACTTTAAGCTTTACTTTACCGAGGACTCAGTAAAGCTGCTCTGTAGTACTTTATTTGAAGGATGTGCATCAGACCGCAAAAATGAATGTTTGTGACTGTTGTCATTAAGTGTCTAAATAATAATACTTTTAATTCACAGGTCTTATGCACAGCCCTTCAAATAAAGTTCAACCAATAGCTCAAACACACACACACACACACACACACACACACACACACACAAACCAAATGATCTATATGTCTGCAGTCAAGCCTGTCACTGTGTCACTGTGCAGATCTGCAGCCTGTAGTGAACACAAACTCTGCCATGTCTGTTTAAATGAGGAGCTCTGCCACATGTTGAACATCTGTTTGGTACCTAACATCTGTCCAACCTTCAACATCCCATGTCGTCTCTGGACAGGCTGGACTGCTCCTAAACAGATCCGCCCTGCCCTCCTCCCAGCCTCATGCCTCATGGTGGAATCAGGATGAACTGATTCCACCATGTCCTGTTTCAGTCGCCGCCTTTTTCATCTCATCCCATTTCAAAATGCAGAATCTGAAACGGAAGGAAGAAAACACACAAGAAAAACTCGAGGCAGCAGAAAGGTAGAGATGAAAGAGAAACAGAGACAAAAAGAGGACAGGCGGTAAACGAAGCTGAGCAGCTGCACAGTTATTGGCTGTGACGGTTTCTTGTGCATTAACATATGCATCATGTAGAGGATCCTGCAGGACACACATAATGGAAATGCAGATAATCTTCTGAACTACTGTTTGAATCAGCCCTTATTTCCTGAAGGATTTTGAGCTCAGGAGAGTTTTCTGTGCATCTGTTTCATGGCTTTATGTTTTGCTCAAGGACTTCACACAAAAACAAAACAGATTTCAGCAGGCTGAGTTGTTTTTCTACATGCATCACATAGAGGGAGGCAATAAGCATACAACGTAATCATGATGATACATTTCAACAAGTTTTGTTCTTGTCTCACATCCTGCTAAGGCTGTATTGAATCTTCGGTTTTAGGTAATTGTGAGTAATGTCAATTCTGCAGGAGTTTCCATACTGCTAACATTTCCTTCTGTTGGTGGTTTATTGGATAAATGGTCCTCTTCCAGATTTGAGTTCTGATTCTCAGCCAAAATGCGTCAATGTCATGATAATAAGATGAAGACATGACTTCTTCCAGGTTCAGATACACACCTGAATTTCCAAAGGACAGGTCAGGGAGGCAGGTGTGTGCACAAAATTAGTGCAAGAGCTGCAAATGGCCCCCAGGCCTCACTTTGAACACCCTTGGTGTAGACAATGAAACCATGAAGTGCTAAATGTTTTTATATCTTGAGGCCCATAAAGGGGATTTTATGTAAATCTTGGAGGCTGGGACAGTTTATCAATGTTAAGTAACTGTAAATAGTTACCACAAAGCAAATATTAAACAACCCTGAATGTCTGCTTTTGTGTGTTTTAAACTTTACTGCATGCCATCCAGTGATGCTATTTTTAAATAAATCCCATCCTCATGTCTCATCAGCTCACACATAAAACCCAGAGTGGGAAACAAATGACTGCAGAGGTTTAATGTTGTATGTCCAACATATGGTGTCCCATCAGTTGAGCTTTGACTGCAGCTTATTTATGGAGATCATTTTGGTGATTTCTTTCCCTTTACAGCGATTTAATGTCACCCATTAGATCAACACCAGCTGCTCGTTGTATATTTAGCTGTTAAATGAGGTCCAGCACTATTCTGAAGCCATTTTTATTGTTTATTTGAATATTAATCATTTACCTAAGTACTCCATCTGTTTATATTCTGTTGGTATGCACATACCTGTGACTGTTAAGGACGTCTAATCATATAGTAACATCTAAGGATATGTTAGAAGACTTCATCTTGTATTAGTTATTACCCTGTTATAATCCAACAATGTAATAAAACAACTACTTTCTAATAAAAGTTAGACTGTCAGATAAGGGTAATGTTTAGAGTCAGAAAAGATTCAAATGAAGCAGAATATCTTAGCAGGGTTTAGACATTATTCTTTTAGGTGGAGATGTCCTGATCCAGTCCAGATGTTTCTGATGTACCAGGTTGTAGTTTGAACCTCTCCAGGTTACTTTTTTTCTTTTTTTATGTCATCTGGCTGTAATTCACCATCTGAGATTTTCTACGTAGTGATGCAGGTCATTACTGACGATCTTAGTGAACTATCCCTGGTTAATTTATTGTGTGACACTAAAATAATCATATCTTATGGTATTGATAAAATCTAAAATGCTGCTGCTGGTGTTCTGACTAAAACCAGGAAGAAAGAAGACATCACCCAGTTCTACAGTCCTTCACTGAGAGACTAGACTTTAAAACACTGTTAGTTTATAAATCACTGAACAGTTTAGCACCACAATACATTAAAGATCTGCTGGTGTTGTATCAACCTTCCAGACCTGAAAGGTCTGGAAACAAACATGGAGAAGCAGCATTCAGCTTCTAGACACCACAAATCTGGAACAAACTTCCAGAAAACTGGAAAACAGCTGAAACACTGAGTTCCTTTAAATCTAGACTAAAAACCCACCTGTTCAGAGTTGCTTTATAACCACAATAAATGAAAGAATGACAAACATATTTGATGATTCTGATGATGGCACTTGTGAAAATGTAATGTTTGTTAGTGATTTCTGTATTGTGTTTTTTTAATTACTTTTTATTTTGTGTTTTTATGATGTAAAGCACTTTGGACTGCCTTGTTGCCAAAATGTGTTATACAAATAAACTTGATTGATTTATTTCAAAGACAAAGAAACAACAAAAAAGATTCAGTCTGTACTGCTAGGTTTTAGTTATAATATAATTATAATAAGGGATTTGCTTCAATGATTCCGACTGTTTGATATGATTCAATACATTGATTTCAGGAACATTTGTGTCTTGTAGTATTTTTTTCTGATTTTAGCTAATACTGAATAAGTTTGAGACCTTAATTAACCCTGAATTAGCAGGTTTTCTCTGATGATTGGGTTTGATCGGTTTGCTGGCACTGTGGACTCGTGAAGAAACACTGCTGACTCAGGCTTTGGCTCAGCTACATGACTAAAGTTGACTGTCTCCATCAACAGAAATGATAGATCTCTCAGAGGATGGCGCAGACATAGAAAACCACTAGTCAAATCAGGAACTGAAGAAAAGGGAAAACTAATCATGGGAAAATTAGGCATATCGTTTGCTGGTTCTGGTCCACTATACTTTCTGAAGTCCACAGTCCACCTTGCAAACGACCTGGACGTTTTAGCACTTCATGCTTCTTTCTGTTGGTGGACCAATGCCATATTAACCCCTTCCATTATCATTTCTCCATGTGCATTTCCTGTGTAGTTTGGAGACTGATGTCTTTTTGTCTGGTTACTGTAGGTCTCGCCTTGCTGATTTCCACATGAACTGCCAGATGACATCTCACACTGTCACCAGCTGTCCCTATGACAACTACATAGGCTGCCTCATGTCCTATGTGGGCCTCATTGGTAAGGCTACTTCAGATTGCTTTTCTTCAGGGGATGAGACTGAAAAGAGACTGAAATAAGCCTGAAAGCGTAGTTTTTGGGTGAATGGTTCTCTCCTCAGCAACTTCATGCAAACAAGTGATAGGAAAACAAGTTTATGTTGTAACAGATGAGCCATTTTTGCCGTGCTGAGCATTGAGTCATAGGCTATGTTCACACAGCAGGTATTGATCCCCAATTCTGTTGAGATGTGTAGTCAGAGTCATGAGCGGTGGAACTGGGATGTAATGCACTTTAGTGACACAGACTTTCATAACTAATTTTTTTCAGTCATTGTTTATGTCCAGATTTACTTAAATCTGGCTTAAATGCGAATTAACTGCAACATGACTTTTGGTTAGCTCCACACATGGAAGTGGCTCAAATTGTTTTTGTTTTTTAGAGGATGAATGTATCAGAATTGCGCTAATCAGTCTGCTGTGAAAAAGTTGCATTTAAGGATGAAATCTGAATTGGTTGCATCGTGAATGAAGCCTTATTGTCCAGATCAAACCAGTGCAACAGCAGACCAGGGTTTCCACCTGACTGTTCCTTGTGTTTAGACATGCCTGAACCAATCAGTCAGCAAATTGAACTTTATTGAATCAGGAGGATGTTTGACAGATCGATTTAGCTTTTACAAAAACTGTAGCATTCTTGAGGTAAATTTGAGTAATGCTGCAATTTTTGTTCTGATTACCATTTTTACCATTATTCCTGTTCCCCAGCTGGCGCTTATCAGCCTAATTCCTCAACCATTTCTTCATCCTTCAGTGTTGTGTTCACAGACACATTGCAAGTGATTCATTTGTTCTCTGTGAATCACCCGGTGATATTATTCCTAATTTGTTAAAATCCTCTTCAGTTTTCTTCCTGGATAATCTTCATCTCAGTTTTCATCCCCCTTCCTTCTGGTGCTCTGTCGGAACACAGGCTCAGACGTAACACCAAACTACAGCGACAACAGCCCCACCAACATCACCATCAGCCTGTGGTGCACCTGCAGGGGCACGGGTCATCAGGAGCAGGACTGCGACGCCTTCCATCGGGACTTCACCCACAACACCTGCCTCAGTAAGTCTGTTGCTGGGTATAAACCACAGCTACACAGAACATTGCAGCACAAAGTCATTCAACAAAAACTGAGTGAAAACATTTTTATAGAGAAGTCAGGATTACAGTTGGACAGTTCCTGTAGTTAGCAGCTAATGAACATATTCTTTATGCAGAAGTGATGCTGAGAATACAGCTGGCTTCATATTATTCACATTCCTTTTTGTAGCTCTAAGGTTGTAATGATCCTTCGATTGATTCGAGCACGTTGATTATTACAATCCCTCTTGGAAAATGTATCTGCCTCAAAGCTTCGTTATGTTTTATTATTTAGTGCACCGTGTTCCGGCCGGGTCATTATTTGTATTGCACAGTGCTCTCACTTCCACCTATGAGTTGTTGATTAAAGCTAAGTGTTAGCAGCATAAGTTAAAATGTTCAAGTTCGGTCTGAGAGGATTTTATTGATTAATGATAATGTCCAGTTTAATATCATTCTTTGGGGGACGAATAAGCACCCTCAAAATAACTGGCACGATGCCTGGCGTACGGCAGCCTCTCTCCTTCCAGAGCTGCTGCCCAGGGGCCGGCGGTCAGAGCGAAGGGCAGGGAAGAGCGCTGCCAGTGTATTTATACAGGTGAGCAGATAGACTGAACAATGCAGGGGCTGGGTTGTAGATGAAAATAAAATTCATATCATCCCGGTCTCAATAAATGGGTGGTGGTACATAGCTGGTAGATGTGTTTCTGTGTGTGATGAACGAAGGTGTCAAATCCCGTCGCTAATATGGACACAAAAGCCAGTAATGAGATAGAGATGGTGAGCTTGAGGTAGTTGGAAAGTGGAGCTTCAGGAAGAATTAGACTGATCTTACGTGAAATGAAGATTATCTTCCGTCAGGGGGGTAATACAGTAGTTTCTGGGGTTTGGTCTCCTTGTGGAGGTCCTCGAAGTGGTCCGGGTTCCAGAGTGGAGTTTTGACAGGGTGAGTTCTTTGGAAGATGGTGGAGACTGCGGTGGAGGGTGGACAGGTAAGTTCAGGTGAGGAGGAACGAGGCACGGACCGACTGCCAGCTGAGAATCCAGGAACGATTTATGGTTTATCTGCAGAGACAAAGAAGGGACTCGGGCAACCAGTGGGTAACAATCCACGGCATCACGAGGGGAGAAATGCGGGAAGCCAGGAACTCGGGCTTCACGGAGGTATTTCCAGAGCATCACAAGGAAACACCTGAGAAAGAGGCAACAAGAATATATAACTAGAAGCAACTTCAGAGAAAACAGAGACCCAGTTCAGAAGGGCACAGAGTACCATTACTGGCAAACACTCAGGTGTCGAAGTGCTGGCAGTCTGCTCCTCATATACTCCTGGATGATTAGGTGATGAATGACAGGTGCGCTGACCTGAGTCAGCGGGCACACCCTCCAAAGTATAGCAGCCTCTTGGCACCATTTAGTGGAAGGAGAGGGAAGCAGCAGGCAACAGCAAACCCCCACAAAAGAGGACCAAAACTCTGGTTCCCAACACATAGCTGTTTAACCTGAGGGAGGTAATGCACACCCGAACTTCATCCAGCTTATTGGTGATAGACCTGGCATTGTCGATGAAATGACAGGGCAGAGCCGGTCTGTGTGGTTTGCCCCATTTCTGTTTGTTGTAACTCCTCAATCTACTGAGTCGCAGAGGGGTGATGGTAAAAACCTCCTCAGGCAAGTTTTGCTTCATTGACTGTGGATATTTCAACATTAATCTAGTCAATATTATTTCTAAATACTCCTCTCATTCCCTAAGACATTCTTCAGTTTTGTTTGAGGCTGATATATCAGCACACAGAGCAAATAATGGAGAAGATAGGTCAGATCAGGTGGAGGAGGAAAACCAGAACTGAGACAATGTGTTCAAGATCCCAAGACACTTTCTCTAAATATCAGTAACCCAGCTGCGGCATGACCTCTGGGCCCTACATCAAACACCAACTGAACACACAGAGCAGCCACGCTAATGGGTTGGGTAAACACGGATCTCTGAAATGCTGAAGTGTTTCTCACAGAACCAGTGTAAAACACTGAATGAAATCAGCATTTTTTAAATTAAAAAGAGAAACAGTTTTCTATAGGAATCAGGTATGTGTAATTCAATCCAGTTTAATTCAATAACACTTTATTAATCCCAGAGGGAAATTAAATGTTGTAAATAATATTATCCAATTTTCTTCAAAGAGCTTTTAAAGATGAGAGGAGTCACCGGAAATAGTATTTCCACAGCAAACAGAAGGATTTTATAAGCAGTCTTTGCAAACTCTGGAAATCATCATTGTAAAATATTAAGTAAGTATAAATGTATGAATCGAGACAATATGATTATCTACTCAGATATCACACCTGCATACAAAGTGCTTCATGGCCCGGCCCACCACCATCAAAAGACTTTGTTCAATTAAAGTGAAAGAGCCATGATACTTTCATTGTTGGTGTTTAGAAAAAACCTTAATAAATGATCAACTACTTTACATTTTACCAGATTTGACCAGTCAGAGCATACAGGACTGTAGAGCCAGAAGGAATCATTTCAGATTGAAGACAGGAGTTATGTTTGAAGGTGATCTCTCATGTAAGATCCTTGTTAGAATATCTTGAATTTAACAATTCAAGACATTGAATTAAAGATAATTTTAAAGAAAATCTAGAATAACAAGTTGCAAGAAAAATGAATATTCCAACATGCATACAATGTGCTCTCACATATAAGTTTATGAACAATCTGGAAAGTTTCATTATGTAGTTTCATCCAACTGTATTAATGAATATAGCTCAAATTGTGGCAGAATAACAAGATTATTGCTTTGTTGCTGAAGTGCACTGTGCTAGCACACTGTGATGGTGAATATTACAAATATACTATAAAAATATATACACGCTAAACTACATAATAGAGTAGAATATACTTTGATTCTCGAGAAGAAATTGCTTATTTGCAGACAAGCTACTCCATCCGAGGTGTAAATCTTAGTAAATACAAATATAACCATAAGCAATGTAACATTTATATAAATATATATGTACATGTGATATTGTAAGTGTAAATATAACATAAAAACATCATATAATACACTCTAACCCTGGTTTAACACTGCACAGCCATTCCTGACCAGCCTGGTATACACTACATGCTGCTCCGCTCTGCTGCGAACCCCAGAGGTTCTCCAAGATGCATCCATGAGGAATTAAGGATCACATGATAAAGCCAGTGATGAAAAAGGATGAGTGGGGTTACATAAATATACTGTAGATCTAAAATTCCAAAATTAATTTTTCTCTGTCCATTGCTCTCATGCCATCAGCCTCGACAGATTACTTAGGTTTTCTGAATAAAGTAAATTATAAAAAAAATAATAAATAATAAAAAAAAATAAAAATGAGCCCGACCACATCGTCACAATGAAGATATGAATGCACATAAACCTCAGGGATTGCTCTCTATCATAAAAACAATTGAATCTTTGGGTGTAGAAGTGCTTTATGCTGCTCTGACAGTCACTGATACACATGTTTATTTTCCACCTCTTCCATGAATCAGTGTGGATGAGAAGACAAGATAACATTGGAATTTCAGTGCTGTCCATCAATCCTTCATCCCACCAACCTCATCAACAACTTTCCCAACATAAACAATTCTACTGATGGATTACTGCTTCACTAAATAGCTGAGCTCATTTAGATAACTAAAGAGTCTCCTTTGTTTTATTTCTCTATCTATTTATTTTTCTCATCAAGGTTCATATTCCACATCTCCACCTGCCTAAACGGCTCCTGGAACACCTTTATTTGACTTTCAGGTTTGTCCTTCACAGAGCTGGACAATGATTATAATTTACTCCTCATCCATGTTCCACCATCTGGTGGGGTTCCTCAGGGTCTTTATGATAAAATAGATCAAAGACACCAGAGACTGATTCCCACCACCTCCACTAAAACGTCCTTTAACCTCTGTGCCACACTCTCTCTCTTTTAAATTCAAACTTTGATAAAATGTCTGATTAAATATGGAAATCACAGCCAAACACAACCACTTTTCAGTTCAACCCCTTCCCCATTATTCTGGTACAATGTCTGGTGACAGTTTCTGTCTTTTAATAATTACAGTAATCCTCTCCTCCTTTTCCCCTGTTGCTGTTCCTTGATTGCTCAAATTAGCCACCATAACCCTGAGAAATGGTTCTGGCCTGGATGGCACCCTGGACAAGTCCCTTTTTCAGTGACATAGAAATCAAAGTACAACTACTGGACATTACTCAATTTGAATACAAACAAATATTGGACAACAGAACAAGTCTTCGTAAAAGCTGCAGATGATCAGAGGTTCCTTCTTGTTACATGCTGGTCATGGAGGTTTGACCCAACCGGCAGAAATAAACATGCTGACAATGACGTCAGTGAAACCTTTTTTTTTTTATTGCAGACTGTGTACACTAATCCTTAAAGCAATTGTATGAACAAAGGATGACAGACTGCCCAAACACAACTGGATCTATTAAAATAAATCAGTCCGAAGAATGAAACATCTGCATGTTTAAAAATGGAATGTCCTCCAAGAATATTTAAGTCAAATAAGAACCAAACAGAACAATTCATCACATTCAATCCAAGACAAACTGAACATGTTTTAATCTGATCCCAGTATTTTCTCATTTAAACACCACATTTCCAAAACCCATTATGAAATCCCCATTTCATAAAAGGAAATGGGAGCTGCACCATTTCCTGTGATTGTGCAGTTCCGAACTAATAATTTGTGTGCAGACCCCCACGAATGTTTTGTCTGCACTGTAAAAAATGTCTCTAATTTACAATAAAATACCAGCAGCTGTAGTTTCAGCATACTGTAAAATCCATAAATAAACGGTAAAACAACCCCCACTGCCGGGATTTTACTGTAAATTTAAGAATTTTTATTTTTTAACAGTGTGTGCACACCTGCTGGGAAAATGGTGGAGGTAAGTGATTATTCTGATAGGCCTATCGGTTAAAGTCTAGCTTTTCACAGAGAGAATGTCAAGATGACATCTGTGGATGAAGACACACCCAAACACTCCAAACCAAAATAGACCAGTTGAAAACCCAGTTGCTGTAATGTTATTTAAATGAGCTGTACATATGCTTCTTCAACATCATCTACTAAATATCTACAATATAAATGGAACAGGGGCTCATTGTTATGCCTCCGTCACACAAACCATTGGCAATTCAACTTTTAAGGGTCACAAAAATGTTCACCTTTTAACAGTTAAAAACCACCTTACTTTGAATAATTGTTTAGGGTTTGTGTAGCAGCCCTCATGAACTTCCTCTGATGAGCTCTTCATCATGCATTGAATGAGCAGAAACAGGCCTGCAGGCTGGGCCAGGCCCTGGGTTCCCTCTTCTCTGTTCCTGCTTTCATAATGCAAACATCCACAGAAATGATCTGAGTTTGTCAGATACTTTACTCTACCTGTTATTGTTACCTCAGCAGTTAGAGGCTGGGTGTTCAGTCATTCTGCTCCCATCTTTGGAATCCTCTTCTCTGATCCCTTTGATTCCTATTGATATTGATTCCTTGGGCATCACTATATAAAAAAACATGACATTTAAAAAGCACAGAAAAAAATTGAGTTATCAAGTGTTTATTTTTTTAACTTGTATTTTTTTGTTTAAACAAGTTCAAAGACTCTGAGGAAACTGACTAGATTCTTCCCCTCAGCGTACTTAGTGCTCTAACACTGAGCTTGTCAGTGAGGTTTTCCACTGTGACCCGAATGTTACATTAACACTTGAACATGTCAGGTGCTGCAGAGAGATGTGTTCTAATGCAATATTAACTTTATCTCAGAGGACTGTGATCATTAATCTTTCACTGAGCTCTTCAAAGTAGGTCACTCAGTGTTTTCTGCACCAGCCTTTGGATTCCACAGCCTTAAATTAGCTGAAAGAACACCTTTACCTTTACCTTGCTACTGTATCGGTTGCAGTTCAGTGATTTTGATGTAAGTTCATGTATGAATTAATTCACTGTATATCACAGCAGTTGAAACCAGAAGTTTGCACACACCATAAAAAACACACATCTTTCTCACTGTCTGAAGTTAAATCAGATCAATCTTCACTTGGTTCAGGTCAGCTAGAATTATCAAAATTATTAAAGTGTGCTAAATGCCAGAAAACGTTTCTGTGTAACTTTCTTTAAATTCAGAAGTTCATATACATTCAGTCAGGGATAATTGTCTTATGAACTGTATGACTTGCATCAAATCTTTTGGGTTTAATTTCATAAACCTCTCATAGATTATCTGACACATTTAAGTCAATGTGGACAGACAGCTGTGCATGTAAGGGTAAATCTAATGTGCAACAATTAAAAAAAATCTCTTTAAACTGAAATTTGTTTAGTTTAAATATAAAATGTTGTTTCATATTGTCTTCTCCAGTATCTCCAAAGAACATCATGGATGTATCTCAGACAGGAACTGCAACTAAAAACCTTTAATGTTGCATGATATGAGATAATCTCTTCTTTTATTTGTTTTAATCTAAAGCCGTTTTCGCACTCCAAGGAACGGAACGGCACGGGTTCCCAGTAGGGCCGACCGTGTTTGCATTATAACTTCCGACCCGGTTCCAGTTGGCTCCTTGGAACCACAAGAGATGTGGTTCCAATCGGGCCGGCCAAGCGGGGCTGCTCAGAATCAGCAGCTGATTGGTTTAGAGTCAGCCGTTGATCAGTTCTAGCTGGCTCTCACTAAACTGTGCTTACTGTATTTTGTAAAGAGTGCTCTTTTTAATATTTTTATTATTATTATTTTTAATTTGCGATGTCTTCCTCTCAGTATTCTGCTGTTACCTGGTCCCATGATGAGGTCATTTTTTTCCTCCGTTTACTCCCTGATGAACGAGTCCAGAACCAACTGGATCGGTCAGCGAGGAAAGAGGAAGTTTTCTGCATCTCTGAGGAAAAGGCTTCGGCCGCTACATGGAAACCGTTTAGTTTCAAACATGATGACGTCACAGCTTCGATGGCGCCCTCAGTTATATGCAAACACAACAGGGCTGCAGTTCGGGTGGAACCGGACCGAAGCCTGCCGTTCCGTTCCTTGCAGTGCGAACAGATTCTTGTGTGTGACTGTGGCCTTTTCGATTTTGATTTGCATTAATCTCCACATCATTAGTTTGAGCTAACATGTTGTTTATTTCCAATGACTGATTGGGTAAAAAGTTTAAATCAGTTATAATTTAGGCTTTTTGGGGGTTTTCTGTCTAAATGGATAAAAGTCTTGAAAAGGATTAGTAATGAAAGCTTTCTGATGGCTGTGTGTGAAATAGAGGCTGGAAGTGACGCACTGAATGTGTCATGGAGAGCAAACAGTCATTTTGTTGTCACAGTGATGTGGCTTTTAGCATGAACAAGAAGTGATGAAAGAATATTTGTGGTGCAAATCTGAGTGTCTAATACAGCCAAAGCTTTCTGAGCACCTTTCTCTGTTTGGCCTCTCAGAAAATGCCATCCTGTCATTTGGTTATGGATCTGAAGGAGCTGCTCCTCCTGTAACCGAGCAACCGTCCACTTTCCTGCCACCTGATCACCCCATCATCTCCAAACCGGCTCCCTCTCTGCACGGCAAGGCCATCAAGCCCGTAGACGCTGCCTGCATGTTCTCTACCTGTGCCAACCTGCAGGTGAGTAAAGAAGCTCATCTGATGCATCCAAAACGTGGAGACTGATCAGTGCTGAAATCAGGAGGATGTGCTCTGGACTGCTCTCATAAGGAGTCACCAGATCTTGTTAGTGTTCCATCATCAGACAAAGAACACTTTAACTTTGTAGGATGTATCATTTATTTGACTAGAAGTAATGCCCAAATAAAGAGGCACGAGAAACATTTACAGCAGCTCCGTATGAAATAAGAGTTGAAGGTTCCTGTGAAGTCTTATTCACTATGGAATTATGGTGCGTTCACACCCGGCACTTTTTGAGCGTCAGATGCGTTTGATTTATACATTCAAGGTCTATGTGGAGACAAGTTTCCAATGCATCCGACGCTCCACATAGACTTTGAATGTAAACCAGATGTGCCTGATGCTCAAAACGTGTTTGGTGCAAACGCACCATTAGGATGACCCAATCAAGAGTTCTTGACTCAAATGTGAGGCTACCTGTCTGACAGTGGAAGGATGGCGTACATCAAGTTATGAACAAAATGGCTGAAATGGCAATAAAAAAAAATTGTGATTCCAAATTTTTCTATAATATTGTGAGGAAAAAAATGCTGTTACTGCAGCACTACAAGTTGCCTATTCAGTGAAATATGACACCAATAATAAATCATGTGTTGCTGGTCTGAGATCACATATTGACATTAATACACCTATCAGGGAGCAGACATTGTTTTCTGATGCTGAAAACCTTCCAACCAAATAAATGAAACAGTTTATTTTTATTCTTTACAAACCTCCAGATAAAAACCTGGGTGTCCAAGAGGCAGGCTCACAAAGTTGGTTCATTTGCTGGTGTAAATCAGGTTTACACTATCCTACTGCGCTAAAGCCGTTGTATTTGCTCAAGAGATTAGAAAAAGTAGAAGCGTGTCTGTGTATTAGTTGAACAGGCTCCTCTGATGGTCTTATAAGTCCTCTTGATGCTTGCAAATCAAATTCTTTCTTTTTTTTTTTTTTACCTTCAGCTCTCAAATATCCTTTTGTCCACAGAAGATTGATTTGGAAGGGGCTCCCCCCTGTGGGCTCGTCATTAATATTTCACAAAGATCTGATCATGGAGTTGAATTGGGTGAACCTCAAATAGAATATGAAAAGAATACCGACTCCTCGGCTCAGGATGTCATCGTCATCAGTAATTCAGAGCTGAGGCTTCTTCACCACACACTATCAAGCTAATCATTTTTCATTCTCCTTTCTTAAAATAAGAGTCTTATGGTTGTATGATGATTCTTGTCTGATAGTTTTTTCTCACAGGGAAAGATCCATAGTGAGTTTGAGTCTAAACTAGTAACAGTTCATCCACAGATATTGACTTATAAAGCTTATGCAAACTAAATTGCCCTCATTACTTTAAAAGTGTTTAAAGCTTACAGTAATAATTTACTGGGTTTGCAGACAGTGTGTGTACAGTTCCAGTCAGAGTGTATATGCAGAATCCATCATCTTTTTAAAAGTGAAGGTTATTTCAAAGGCTTAAAGGCCTTCCCTCACCACTCTGCACTTCTTTCTATGTTGTGATTTTATGATAAAAAATAAGATTTTGACTTTAGATGAACAGTTAGTGTGTTGGTTCCTAAGAAAGTCAATAAATAGTGCAAAGAAACAAAAGTATTGCCCAAGGTCACCAAAAGAGGGCAGTGTAGTTGGAGGAAGACAGCTGTGCATGTTGCAGCCCAATGGCTGTCTGCCATTAATGTCTGTCAGTAATGAAGACAACTATTCCTACTGTTGCCTGGATACACCAGTCACTGGATGAGAAACCCAAGAAGATGGAGCTAAGCAATCAGCTGACTCATCAGAATCAACTCGGATATGTAGCTAAACCTAGACAGCTCTCTTTACTTGGGAAGGAGGTTCTGTTCTGCAGCAGCATCATATTCCAAATATCAAAGCATGAATGTTTTCACCATCTGGCTAAAAATATAATTAAGGGAAGTGATTGAGGTTCCAAGCGTTGTGCTCCAGGTTAATCTGAAATTCTCCTTTCTCTTTCCTTGGGGCTTGTAGCTCAGTGTAGAATCTTGACACAAATCTTCCACGTTTATTTGAAAGAATTGTTCTTTCAAGTAAATAACACTTTTCAGGATACAGTTGACTAATTTTAGTGCTACTGCATATTCTTAGATAGTTTAATCGTGTAGGAGCCCGTCGAAATGGTTTGATGAATTGCTGGTTTTCTCTGCTCACAGGCACTTAAAGACATTTCTGATTTTCTGTAATTTACCGTACAGTATTTTACCAAATTTGTTGATACAGTCAATTGCAGCCATTACAAACGTTACAGGGTCTGTCAAAGTCAAAAGAACATTATCATATTTTATGTTGTTTTGTCCCTATTAATATGCCTTTAATATTATGACTTTGTCTAATTGCAACAGCAAGTGGCTCTATAGCCAAGGAGAAAAGCAGCAGGGAGAGAAGACCTCCCTGCACCGTCCCCCTCATCAGTCCAAAAGCTGCAGACCAACAGCCATTTATCTAAATGGATGCTGTGGGCTTTTTATAAAGAAATTTTATATATATATATACACATATTAATCCAGTTGAAGGGCTTTTTAGCAGCCAGTGAAACGATGATGCCTACCGGTTAGTATTTGAATATGGTCAAGATGATGAATAACATTAATAAGTTCTCTCCTTTATCAAACCAGTTTGTCTACATTAAGGCTCTACCTCTTCCAATCTAGTGGGAAAAAACCTATGAAATCTGACTCTCAATCTAACTTCCTGGTTGACGTCATGACATGCAGCTGGTCTGTGTCTCCACCCACTAAACACTCAACAACACAAGAACTGTGTTCTGCATGCAAGGCGCCTCTTAGAGCATTCGATGGTCACAAACTTTGTATTATGAATTTTACAAAGACACCAAAAACATTTCTTAACAATGTATCAGGAATGAAAAATGATAAATATTGTAAAAACATCAGACAGACTCACTTTAAGACCTTATCGGTTTCCTGACCCATATTGCAAAATGTTGTTTTTTTTATTTTTGGACTGTTGCATCCAAACTACTGCAAGCCTTTTTCAAATGTTTTTTCCCTGTAAAGTAGTGTTAAGAAAATAAATTTAAAATAAGCTAGTTTTAAAACTTAACATGTCTTGATTCAAATGCCCTAATTGTGGTTTTGAAATCAGTAACTTATTCTGGCCTATTGACCTTTATGTTACCTGTAGTTACAGCAGATGGTTTGCTAGGATTGTTTGAAATGCCTTTTGTCTGTGTGGGAAACGATACAGGAGAAGTTCCAGCTTTTCACACTCAGCTGTGAAAGGCCGTAAACACGGCAGGGGTTTTAGGCTTCAGATAGAGGGTCAGAGATAGCTCCTGGTTGGATGAGCAAAGATACGCCTTATTTGAATAAATTAAAGAAAAGAAGATAAAACTTTCTACACAGAAGTAACAAATTAGATTTTGCTCTTGCAACTTCTCCAAAGACGTCTTTGCTTTTTGTTTGTCGTTTCCATCTTTTGTCTTTTTCTCTCTCAGGTAAATTCATGTGTTGTTTGTGCTCTGAGGTTTCTGATGTTTTGTGATGTGCTTTTCTGGTGATAGTATGCATCTGTCTTGAATAAATGCTGATTATTGTGACGCTGTTATCTCAGCGTGATCTCAATCTTTGCGCACAGCATTTTTCTGAACCCGGGCATAAGAGAGGATTTAACGAGTCAAAAGGTTTTTAAAGTTCAATAATTTTTCCTCTCTTAACAGTAGAAACATTCTGGTTCTGGAAAATGAGGAATTATTTGCTTTGACTGTGATTTACATAAATATAGATATTTCTGGGGTTTCTCCTAAATGCGTGGAAGATGCCTCATTTAAACAGGAGCAAAATGCATCAGAACAGAGAGAGGCTGTTTGCTTTAGAGAGCTTTTTTTGGAGCAGATCTGGTTCTAGAATTGCGTTTCCCATAATTTAGCTGATAGCTTTGTGCATCTGAGATTCTGTCAGAATTGATTCATAAAATACCAATTTATATTCTTCATGTTACATTCACCATTAAATATAAAAAATCTGTGAAGAGTTTTTGGATGTAATGAGGCTAACAGCACAGCTGACTGTGTGTTTTTTCTCTGTGTTGTGTTTTGGTGGGGAGGGGCTGAGATGCCTGTGTCTCTGTCCCACAGCTCATAGCTCATACTCTGTTCTTGATTTGCTCGTCTAAATCCAGCCCTGCCTCCGGGTCGATAGTGTTTCCTTTTCTGTCCAGCCTGCTGACATCATGGAGCACAGAGGTGCCAGAGGCTGGTCCTGCATAAAGTTTGTTTTTATTGTTTTTACCTGCCTTGAGCTGACATCACCAAGATACAGTTCTATACCATGTGCTATTATGTCCCATTTACAAAGAATACAACAATACAGTAATATGTTTTTATGAAAGATAACCCTGTTTATTTTATGAATAGAAAAGAATAGTTAACAGATAAATGTAAATATGAAAATTATTTCTTTAACACCCTGTCAGTCATGAAGGATAGCCCCTCAAACTGAACCCGGTTCTGGTTCTGCTGCAGGTTTCTTCCTGCTTTAAACTCAATAAACTGAGCTGAATGCAGTTTACTGCACTGTTTGATATGTGGAATCAGTTGGAATGTCTGTGTGATTGAATTGAAATCACTTTTTTGTAAAGTGTAAAGACATTTGCTGTGAAATGGCACTATAGAAATAAAATACAATGAAGTGAACTGCTGATAGCTCCTCTTATATTTTTGGGGCCTCATTATGGAAATAATATATTGTGTTTTCTTTCACTTGAAGTCTCTTTAACCATGAAAACTGAGGGCTGTGTCTGTGTGCCTGGTTTGCATGAACTCAGTGTTGGTTTGGGAAAGCTCCAGCCACAAAGCCAGTCTGGACCTTGGCTGGTTGGAGGCGTAGCAGAGAAAAGCAGAAAAAAGCAGAAACTCTGAACAGGAGAAGGTTTTATGCCATCCCTGAATTCTCAATTACCAGCACTAAATACCTTCAAAGACCTTATCTAATGAAAAAAATTAAAACAATGCAAAAAATGTCAACCAGTTAATGACTTTCCTGTTGTCACTTCTGGCCTGTCATAGTCTGCAGCCCGGCATGAACAGGACAAGCAATCACACCAACACTGTTCTGAAAAGGTCTTACGTTTTCAACTTGAAGCTTTAGAAGTGACTACAAATAGAAGTCCTTGTTTTAAAAACACAGTGAGTGCTGGTATTTTTCTCCTTGTGTTCACATTCACCTGAAAAAAATCTCCTGACTGAGGAAGAAACACTGATACTCACTGAGGAGGAAAAAAAACTACTTAGAAAAAAAATGTCATTTTAATCCAAACCATTTTTCTTTCCACCTTTTCACCTGATTCCTCACCTTTTCTGAAGTTCTGCCATTTTTTCTTCTGTCCTCTTTTCTCTGCACATCATCCCATAAATATAAAATAATTAATTTATATGGCATGTTTAAATTTACAACGATAAGAATCACTCTTACTAATTTCACCAGAACAGTTAAGCTCAGGCGGCCTAATAAAGCGGTGTGTTTAACTATTTGTCATCATCGTGCAGAAACTGTTTTGATATTAAGCTAGGATCAAGTATGTGCTACCATAAAGAGCGTCTCATCTGTTTCTGATTCAACACATCAGTGTTGTGACCCACTGATACACAGGCCTTATGATGAGTGTGTGGATGTGCCCACTGCTGTGCCTGATGCTCCACAGACCCTCATAGCTCCACCATCTCATTCTGACTTAAACGCTCCTGATATGTGTTTCATGGTTGGATGCAGCATGCCTGCTGCTGTTGTTTACACTGCTGTGCACAATGTGAGACTCGCATAACTCTGTGGAGCAGGGAATCCTGCTATAATTGTACAGAGTTCTCATCATCTGTTATTAAGAGTTCCAAGCCAAAGGAAGCAAGTGGATGGCCCATGCATACATGGCCGTAGGCTTGGTCCAAGGTTGGCAGACTGGGGTGGTGGTCCCTCTAATCAAAACGAGCGTTGAAAGAGTGCAGTTCATTAGCTGGGACTTAAAACATGAAAAGGTAATGTTAAGTATTCCTAGAGTGAAAAAAGAAAAAAAGCTTGAATTAACAATTGTATTGTTAAAAAAACATTATTCTTTTAAAGTAAATGTGATTTAAACATGTCGATGTCAAATTTATTTATATAGCACTTTAAAAACAGGTTTAAAACGGCACCTAAGTGCTGTACAAAAACGATAATAAAATAAGTTGACGAAAAGAAAAAGAGAAATGTTACAAGGAATATAAGAAACATGACTGTCGTTGGTCATTCTCACCAAAGACAGTCATGCAGATGAACTTCATGCTAGTCTCTGATGGACCTGGATGGACAGTGAGTGTGTCTGTGTGTTCTGATGTTTTTCAGGATGGAGGTCAGAAGTGCATACCGTCTGAAGACTACAGGTGTGAGGATGTGAGTCGCTGATTCATCCCCTCAGTCTGATAACACATAATTATGGATCCAACATGGTTTATGATATTGCATAAATTAAGAACTCACCTTATTAGACTCTGCTCACACAAAGACAGCGCTGATTGCTAATTTTTATTAATATATCATGAGCTGTCTCTGCTCATTTTGACAGCTTGCTTTCAAATATGTTCTATTTATTTTTTTAAGCTACCCTTAGATTTAACAAATTAAATATAATTGAGTTATAAGAATAAAACTGAACTGTGATGGACTGTTCAGAGGCGGGGTCCAGGGTGACCAGCTGCCCGTTGACAGGTGGATATAGGCATCAGCACCCCTCCCGACCACAATGGGATAAGGGTGTAAGAAAATGGATGGATGGATGAATAAAACTGAAAAATTAGTAATTAATAAAATGACAATGCAGTTGGAATGTGTATATTTAGAAACCAGGCGTTATATGAGGAATTGGAAATAAGGTGAAATTAGCTTTAAAAGCCAACAAACCCATCATTTGCTAGTTGTTAAATCAATCAGTTTATACTGCAAAGCAAAATAATTTATTTAATAGAACAATGTTTCAAAAAGCTTTTGCTAAATTAGAATTCTATAACATCTGACAATTGATTCTGTTAATGTGTTAAACCATCATAGCAGAAGATTGAATGGTACTATGGACTACCAAGATGGCTGGGAAAAATGCGTATAGAGTCACAACATGGAGGACAGACGTGGCGTTGTTATGTCAGATCTGGAATTAGCTGCTCAGCTAACAACAAAAAAAATATATTGACTGTGGTGCCAGTTAGCAACCCCTCCATGTACACACAAATACAAATTCATGAGTGCTTGGAGCATGCTATGGTCGATTGTAGCATGATTGTAGCAGGTCGATTGTAGCATGTAGTTTTAGCTGCATGAGAGCTAAAACTCTGCTCTTGCTCTCTGCAAGAGCAGAGTTTTAGCATTCCCAGGAATCTAGCGTTGGCAGCCAGAATAAACAATTACCATCTTACCTGCTTCTAGGGACTATGCAGTTATGTATGTGGGTAAGCGAGATGAGTCACATCAGAATAAACTAATGTTGGTGGTGGAAAAAGTGACTCTTCGCCAGTAATCATCTTTCCGAACCAGAGTTTATTATGCTAAAAGATTCCAGCTAATTCACAGCAGAACAAAACAAATCAAAACTCAATGAATATTAATTGTTTTACTCTACCTAAAAGAAAATGAATGCTAAGCAAAAAAAGGCTAACCCAAACTTTAGGACAAATTTTGAACAAAATAGCATCTGGTGTTTGGAATTTTCTGTTTGATCACCAGGAGGGAGCAGACCTGCAAAAGGCATTTTTCCCTCTAACACTTCTTTTTTCCTTCTCTTTCTGTTCAGACTTTGTTAGCCCAGGGGTCAATAGACTCTCAGGAATCGGTGGAACCTAAAAGCAGCAGCCAGCAATCAGCGCCGCTACTCCAACACATTTCTGTGACTGTGTGTGTGTCCATTCTGCCAGCACTTCTACATTTCATGTCATAAATTTGAACTCGCACACATCCAGACATAACCACATACACACAATCCTAAATGTCAAGCAACAGATGTCGAAGCATCCACTACGGCCTTTTTTTGAAGAGTGTCTGGAGCTGGTCCAGATGAGCGGTCCTTCTGCACAACACAGTCACACACCGGCCATGGGAGGGAGAACGGAAGCAGCTGCACTTTTGCGTGTTGTATGTGATTGAAAAGAGGAATCAGAAACACAAATGAGAGACTCTTGAGACCCTGGTTCACAGTGACTTCACTTTCAATGCTCTGAGTCTTCACGGTGTGTGTGTGTTCTCTGTGCTCGGACTTACTCCCCCAGGCCCATCTGGATCTGAGACAGCTGGGCCGACAAACACTGGAACCAAGCATATGACTGTGTGCACACACACTCACACACAATTTGATCAGAAGTGTTAGAGTTGGCAGCTTCAGAAAGAGGAGAAAGAAACGACAGGGAAGGACAGCTGGGACAGATCCTTCCATGAGGTTTGTCAAGTCAATTTATCCTCCCTCAGACCTCCCTAGTGGCAACAAATCTACACAACATACAAACATCACACAAGCCCACCTACATTCATCCTGTCACTTTCCCCTTAGACCTACTTAGCGGGTAAACAGGGTTTCCCACATGGACACAAACACTCATGCTGTACACCAGTGTGCTATTTGTGGGTCTTTATCTTCATTTTGTGGTCTACATCTTGTACAAACTTAATTTACTGTGGAAAATGAAAAGTAAAAAGTCCAGTGAACGACTGTATGCTTCACCTCAGTGTTCAGCCTTGTGTGTGTGTGTGTGTGCGTGTGTGTTTGTACGTACGTCGGTGTGAATGTCCGTGATGATTGTTGACACATCTGTGCATGGAGGCAAATAAATGAAGGAACAGGTGGAACTTTAATCAAATGACAAACTGAAACATGATGCGTATGCACAGCTTAAAAATTCTGTCTAAATTCAACTTTAATTTACAGCAGTTACATTCTTTGCTAGAAAACTGAACTACATGATAAAAAAATTCAGTTTCATAGTGCTTTAAAGTCAAATGTTTTTGAAATTTTTACTTTAAATTGATGTCTAAATAGTGTTTTAACCAAGTACGCACATTAATGTTTAAAAGCACACAGTTCGTATGTTTTAAACTGGGTTCTGTGGTGCAGTCGTTTCACCTGCACCAGTTCTCAAACAGACGTCATCTTTAGGCACTTTGCAAACAAAAAGCATCTCATCAAACCATTCAAGCAATGAGATTCCTAGTCAAGTACATCAATTCCAATTGATTCTCATTATCAAACAACGTAGTTTGATAGAAAACTTTCAACCAGTTTGAATAACAAAGGAAACCCAGCAGAAATCCCTCCTCCTGCATATGCATTTATCGACCATAGACGCTTGCTTGCATTGTGTTGTTGACTTTGCAGCAATCCCTCATACAGAGCATGCATTTAGTGGCAGTGCAGAGAAAAGGCCTCTCTTCTATTATCAAAAATCCAATAATGTTCACATCTTCAACATCCTCGACCAACAGTATGGACAGACACACGGTCTTCCACTTCCCCCAGGACTCCATCGTATATGCAGCTGCATGTGCCCCATCGGGGCAAGAGGGCTCTCTTGTGCCCAGGCTTCTTGTGGAGAAAATTTGATTAATTATGTTGAGAAATCAGCTGAGGAGATCCATGATTTGTAATAGGGAAGATATGCAAAGAGAGGCTCAAAATAAACGGCACAAGACAGAGAGCAAAAGCAGGACAGACTGGGGAGAAAGCAGGAGAAGAAAAAGAGTCTACTTTTACTGTCTGTGGACACAAAGAACACAGACACACTGATCCTGGAGTACTTTGTATGTTAAAGAAAGTAAATAGTTAATGGCAGTAAAGAATCCATGAGTGGCTTCATCCAGGAGAGAAACACAGCTAAGCAGATCAGTTCTGAGTCAGAAGGATGAGATAGAGCGCATACAGTTAGTCCAAATAAAGTTTCAGCCAACAGCATAGTCTGGGAGAGACACTGAAAGTTAAACACTGAAAGAGAGGACCTGGTGCATCATTTATACAAACCCAATTCAAATCATTTCAACCTATTTCAATTGAATTCACTACAAAGACAAGATGTTTGATGTGCAAACAGAAAAACTTGATTGTGGTTTTTCACAGTAAACGCTGCCGGCTCCTCAGGCCCAAACTCATCTGAGATGGACTGTTGCAAAGTGGACAAGTGCAATGCAAAGCAAGCAACTTACGTTTCCTTTAATAAATGATGCGGGGGGGTTTTATCCTATGATGAACAAAACACTAGACTGAAAAGTTGCATTGATATACATACATACATTTGAAAAACTCCACAACTAAAAACACCATCTGACACCAGTTCATGTTTGTTTGTTTCATATGCCAATAAATCCTGAGAAGCAGACACACAAAGTAATAACATGCTGATGATGAAATAAAACCTTCCTGACTGTCAGAGCTTCCTGTCACATTGCCTCAGCTGTTCAGTGTTGAGTGAATAAACACAGATGGGTTGGCGCTTCACAGCAATCAATAAGGTGAGATTCTTCAAATTTCTGTGATCAGCTGTGTTCAGTCAACACATCTTTGGTTATTTTGAACATTTCTTGTCTTTGTCTTACTTCCATAAAACTGTTCAACGTGTATGTTTGTGAGTGTGTACTTTACCTCTGGCCTCTGTATGGAGTATTTTTTATGTTTTGCAGAAGCTACAGGCTGGTCATCAGGTCAGTGTCATGGTGGCCGTTCCCTCCTTCAGAGAGGGATTAGTTTCTGTTGTTATGGTGTTGCCTTACTTTACTGTTTTTTATTACCTAAAAGTAAAGATGGTTCTGAGTGAAGTGACATTTTTCCAGGGTGGAAGTCTCAGCTAGCCACACTGCTGTTAAATTAGGAAGACATTTGAATGATCTCCAAAGAGGGAATTTTGATGAACTAATAAACCTACATTTTGTATCGTGACCAAAGCTTGATATTGCTTTTATCTAGGGGTGCACCGATCTACCAACCAGCTCATTTATCGGTGCCAATTTCCTTAATTTTGGGAGATCAGTGATCGACCAATCTTATCTACCTCAGAAAAGGTTTAAAAATCAGCCACTGTCCTCTTCTGCTCTCCACTGAGAGCTTTGACTGACAGACCGGCCCACCAGGTCGTGTCTGCATGTCTGCAGTTAACAATAGTCACCCCAATGTTGGCAACTCAGCAACTTTCTTGTTATATTTAGCAACATTTCAAACAAATAAAATCAGGTCAGGTCAGGCTTTTTAAAGATCAGTTATCGGCGATCATCCAGAAAACTGCTGTCGGTGCACCCCTACCTTTATCCATACAGTGGGCTAATATTTCACATTATAAAGGAATCAAAGTCAAACCATTTGTTTTCTCACCAACAGATAATCCTACAAAACTTGTGTGATCCTTGAATATGGCAACAACATTTTTTGGTCTTGCCATATCTTTTGAAAATTTCAGTTGCAAATGATAGGGTAATCCACACTAGTATTCCCCAGCAGAATTTCTTCTTAAACTACTCGGTGTGATGTTTGTGCATAACAATAATTTAAATTATTTATTATTTGTAAGATTTCATGACCCACAGTGGAAAAAGCTGCTGTATGTTTAGTTCCCAGTTACATGTTTTACTTGACAAAACAAAACATATTGACCACATGTTTTGTGATGAGGATAAGCCAGTTTCTATGTTTTGAACTATGTTGTATTTTGATCCTCCATTTCTCAAACATGTACCCTAAGACTGACAAAGCTTAGTGAAAGAATCAGTGGCTGATTCTTTCACTTTCACCTTTATTGTTCCCATACAAAGTTCAAAAAACCCTAGTGGTAATTTGAAAGTTGTCTAGACTAAAATTATCTGCCTTTATCTAATATTGATTGGTTATTTCTAAGCTCAGCATTTCTATGTGATTTTCATAAGGAGGGAAATGTATGAAATTTTATTTTCAAAGTTTTCCAGTTGTTGAAATAAGGAAAGCTGAAGGTACAGTATAGAGAAGTGTTAATTCAGACCACAAACTTCTTACATGCTGCATACAGACTGCAGCCTGTGTCCTTCCAGCTGTGGCAGCACAAGAGGGCCTGTAAGCAGCTGTCAAACATACATGGCGGCCATGAAAAGTATTCACTGCCTTGGATGTTTTTTACCCTTTTTATTTATGATCAACTTATTAGCATTTTGACCAAAAATATTGTAAAGTAAAAATGTATTTCTGTAAAATAATAATTAAATAAAATTTTGTAACATAAAATAAGGGATTGCATAAATATTCACCCTTTTAAAATTACTGACCGAATTCAACAGAAATCCAGTCAATTGGTGCTAGTGTTCTCAAAATGAGTGCAATGGAGATCAGCTGAGTGCAATGACTGTGTCTCAATGATTGATTTATAAAGACAGCTGTCTCTGGAAGATCCGTTCTCTGGTCCGTCAGTTTCCTGAAAACAGAAGGACATCACAAGCAAAACAGAGTAATAGAAAAATATACTACAGGGATGTTAGTTACAATCATCCTCAAGAAACAAAAGGAATATGGTCCATGTGTAAATCAGATCATCCTCACAACCAGAGTGGCAGTGAAAGAAGAACACTGGTGAGAGAGGAAACAAGGTCACCATGACTACACTGAGGAATATGCTTAGAGGCCATGGTCAAGTGGAAGGTTTTTTGGTCTGATGAGACCCAACGCTGAAGCTACACCAACACTCTGATAGTGAATTTGGGACTGGACTTGAAAAAGGTTGTTGAAAACCAATCCCCACCAACCGGCAGAGCTGGAACAGTTTTGTAAGGAAAAATGAAGTAAAACTGCAGATGGTTGAATCCTATATAAATTGACTCCATTCTGTGATTTCAGCCAAATATGCATCTACTTAATACAAATACTAAATACTGACCTTCAGGAGTGAATATTTATGCAATCACTTATTGTATCTGACATATTTGTGAGTGGTAAATAACCTTTATGTTTTTAGCGCTTTTCCCAGTCCAGAGGAGTCTTAAGCACTACTTGAGACAACATTGGTTGGAGTTCCAGTCGGGGGGTTGCTGGTTCAATTCCTGCACCGTCTGTGTCAGTTGTTGAGCAAGACAGCCCATCTATCCTACTGACAGTGGCTACTATCAAGCAACTTACCACCATCAGTGTGTGAATGACTGACAGCAGTGTGAAACTCTTTAGGCTCCTCTAGAGTTGATAAAATGCTGTACAAATGCTGGCCATTTACCACTGACACTACATCCACATATTGATGGTGGTAAGCTATTTTTTTAGCCAATGCAAATACAAAATATTTGTACTTATTATTTTGTAGCAATCAGTTCTCTCTGGCAAATGGATTTTCTTGTAAATTTTTTTGTCAAAAAGCCAAACAATGTTAATCGTAACTGAGTTGTAAAAGAAAAAAAAAGGTAAAACATCACATGGAGTGAATACTTTTTAAAGGCACTATGAATAGATTTCATTAGTTTATTTTATTCTTATCCCCCTGGTATCACTGTCACTGCCTGCTCCTTAAAGCATCTCTCCCAGTAGCTGCTCAGGTCCAGTTCACATTGAATTTGGAGTGAACTGGACTTCCTTTTAAAGTCAGACTTCCACCTGGGTACAGCTCCAACACCTCAAAGTTGCACTTTAGCTCTTTTGTCCTGGTTGCTGGAACACGAAAAAATATGACAGTTTTTCAGATTGCAAGATACATACAAAGATAAATCCTGTCAAAGGAAAACCCTGAGACTGTAGTAGCTTTGAGGGGGAGGATGGCGGAAAAACCTGAAGAGGCTCTCAGAATGTATATGCACCTCAGATAAGTGGTAGTCTAGGTTCTCTTAGAAAATGCTGGGATATTTTCACAATTCATGCTGCTTTTGC